GTAGATATACAACTTAATAAAGGAAAATTAGGATTGTTTTTATTATTAGCGGCAATCTTAAAGTTTTGCTGAAATAATAGTTCATAAGAAAATGTCAAATCTTGGCTTACATGAGATTTCTGTCGAAAGCGTTTGTGTCATCAAATGTCACAGACATGACTGAGCTCAACTGGGAACTGTTGATTGTTAGATTTCTGATGACCATGTCAATTATCTTACCATCTGTCACAAGGTCTGTATCAACGGGAATCAAAGTTTCTTAAACTATAATGGAGTCAGTCAAGTCATAGGTGAAAGCACTTGCTTAGTGATGATTGATGGTTGGGCCTTATTGCCAATAGAAGAACACTGAAAAGTGCAGCATTTGATACAGATCTAGTTGCTGAGCTGTACCATCCATGCTGTGAAATCTGAAATTAATGAGCTTGTAACTACTCTCTACTAGAACTGAATGGTCTTAATGGAGTGTCAGCAGTTGTATAAATCATGTTTGTTTGCATATATAACTACACCCTTAATACATATCTGAGGCAAGCCATAAATTTAAATTTAGCCAGCCCGTCTTCAGTGCTTAAACAGACTGCTTAGTCGCTTTCCATACAGAAAAAGTCACCATTAACTCTTTAAATAGTCTAATGAAGCTAAGTAATAAGCGTTTACGGCTTACTTCATATCAATATAATGGAGTTAAGGGTTTTATTTTTCAAGACTTCTGTCACTGCACATGTATGTTGTTTCTGAATGACTTCAGTAAATCACTGTAAATTACTCTGTATGTATTAGTAGGCCGATCACATGCAGTTAGAATGCTCCTAAGAAACCAATATGAGGTAGATAACTATTAATGATCAAGTGACACTCACAAACTATTACAGGAGTCTTCAGCATTTCCTACTGCAGTCATACTTTAAGATAAACTCTTCATTATTCTGTCATTTGGTTCATAATCCATAGTCTATATGTTCTAAGTTCTGTCAGCTGCTTCATCATCGTTAGAGTATTAAAAAACCTGAGAAGAAACCTATTTAACTTTCCAGTTTTCAAATGGAAAATTCTTGTCCACAGTTCATCATCAATTCTAATTAAGCATTTTGCTGTCCGATGTCCTTTTTCAGCTGACAAACGTGACTAAAGACGAAGTAAAATAGGTTTATGTAAACACTCATTCATTTATCAAACGTGTAAAAAATATGCGAATACGATTTCTGTGCAGATTTGCACCTTTCTTTCAGGAATAAACTGAGTACCGTCAGCCATCGTTTTTTCCTTTAGAGTTTTAGTATGTGATTCAGTTGGATCATACGCTAGTCAGTGCACAGTGCAAAATACTTTCACAATCTGAAATGTAATTCGTTGCACATTTGTTTACCTTGTGTTCAAACATTCTGTCTACCAGCAGATCATGATCTCCATTAGCAAAACTTCCCCTTTTTTCATTTACTATTGCTTACTTTTTATTCGCTGTTTTGTCGGCTTGAATCACCAAATATTAATGCTAGATTCTGTGTTGACAGTATCTTCCCATCATTTGATTGCTGAAGCATTTATCACTACTCAGATGTCCCCCTGATTTCCAGAGATTTCTAGTTGTTCAATTAATGACAGTCTTGACACCATTATATTAATTATGATGTTATAGTAAAATGACATGAATTAGCAGCTTTATTCAGATTTCAATGCCAAAGTATGCAACACACTTTTACTTCAAAGACTGGCTATCTTAAATTTTTCAGGAGGACTCAAATATCTGCGACTGATTGCTTAACAAACTATTTAATTCTTTGCAAGACAGTTTTAGTTGTTATTGAGATGATTTCAAAGCTGATAAATAATATTTTCACTTTTACTAGGTATCTTTTAGTTTATTACCAATATAGAAAATTCTTTTACACTCTCTCAGTATCGCTGTTTTGATTTTTATAATAAATACTTGGATCTGTTAATTGGAAAGATGAATAGTGAATACTATAAAGCTTCATGGATTTTCCTGTAATGAAATCCTATCACTTCGCATTTTTTATCAGTTTACAAGATGTATTTTCGTCTAAAAACATTATTTCTTGGTGAAAAGCATATCGTATATTTGTTCTTGCCTGTTCTGGAGAAATAAGACCAATATACGAGATCTAAATACCCAACTGTTTTTCAGCAGTATAATCAGTGTACACAAGATCCAGTGACCTGAAGATTGGCGAAAAGTCAGATATTTTAAACCAACTAATAAAGTCTTATATTCCTAAACTGAACAAAATTGACACAGGTCTTAATTACGGTTACTAGTGTCTATCTGTGTACATTTAGCTGAATGATTTTCAAATTATGTTGATTTGCCACTCAGTTCAACAAAACACGAGATTGTTGTGAACACAGTGTAGCATACTTCGAAAATAAAAAGGTGACGACTGTCAGTAGCTACTTAATTCTGAATTGTTCTCTGACTGCAACTTAATTTCAGTCATTTATTCCCCTCAGACTTTTAAAACAATAAAATCAGAAGATAGCTTGTGAAAATTCTATTGCAATCCAGTCTCATTCTTCCTCTCTCATTTGCACTCATTCCTTTCTTATTAAAAATATGAATCTGTGATATCCATAACACTATGATAGCTACACACCCAAATTATAAACTAAGTGCCTTCTTGATGTTACTTTAGATCAGAGAAACGCAGTGAGTTGTTGAATGTTCAGGAGAGAAGCATGAAAAGATAGACAATTACATTAACCATATCCTCAAATACCATTACTTATAGCTCAGTAAAGCAGTATCATAACGAAATTACTGGCCTCTTTAAGTGGTTATTGTTGCTTTAACTACCTTTATACCAGAATGTTGAATAAAAACAAAAGTCTGTTAATATGAATTGGGAATTATTAATTCAATTAAAAACATGGAAAAAATACACAAGCTTACGAAAAAAATGACTAATTCTCACAGCTTAAAATAGTAATAATAAAAAATACAACCTTATGAAATGTTATTTGTTTGTTCTATTATTTTTTTGACGTTTTGTGTTATACGTTTTCCCATCTATCAGTTACCTCAAATGTGTGTTTGCGTAAGTGCGTGTGTGTGTGTAGCCTTGCATGCTTTCAAGGTGGAATAATAATTAAGAGAAGTGATGATAGGCTCGAAGGTAAAGAAGAAACGAAAAGAGAAACAGATAGAGTTTTCGAATGCTTTCACATTTTTAAAGTAAGTACAGCTTATTCATGAACCTTGTGTTTTACATTTCTCTTCACTAAAATATCTCATAGAAGAAAGAAAATGAAAACAAAGATTTATCCTGCAATCGGTTTTCACTTCATTCTCTCTATTATATTGCCTCCCTAGTCTTACGTTCCACGTACTTCCATTAGAATACTGTATGCCTGACTCTCTTAATCAGTCAAACACACATACACACACGCACACTCCCACATACACATAGTTACAAGCAGTGGCAAATGTGAACACACCTTATTTCAATTTTTTGTGGTTAGAAGTTATTTTCGTGTTTCTGCACACTCAGCAGATTAATCATGTCTATGTAATACTTAGAATCGAAAAGAAAACATTTGTTAACAAATGTACGATTAGTATTAGTAATAACAATAATTGTTACAGTAATAGTAGTAATAATAATAATAGTGATAACCAATTAAGAATTGTAGAAACAGTATAAAAACTGCTGACAAAAATAGAGGATCTCTAGACCCTCTCAGAACAAACATATTCTCTGTATGTTTATCATTAGTGTTTTCTTTTTTAGTTTTGTAAATATCTCATTCAGTACAAAAAAGTAGCCAAAGAGGAAGAAAGAACTTACGGTTGGTAATAGTAGTGGTGAGCATCAACCGATCTCTGTAGTATTAAACTAAAAATAGTAACTTTGGTATCTGTATTCAATGCATAACAAACAATAAGCCTTAGTGGAAAAAGGGGAAAATAACGTAAACAAAACAAACAGTTGATTGTACAAATTAAAAATACGCAAATTGTAAGTAAATAAAATAATTAGTTTTCATAAAAACTTTTATTCTGTTTTGTTTTGATTTATCAATGTATAATTTCTCTGCAAACGTTTCTTGCTGATTTCTTCATTTTACTATTTTCAGAATCACGGAAGTTTTTTTAATTCAGCCTATGCATTTCAGACTACAAAATCTATGCGAAATTGAGCTTTCATTTTATTGATAGGCATCTGTGTCAATATTGATAAGTGTTAACGGAATTGGTCGTTCTTTGTTCATTTTCCCATCCTCCCTTTAATGAATCAATCGAGTGAGCTTTACTTTGGGAATAGTTTATCGATTTTCTTTGAATATTTTGTCACGCATACTGAATGAATGAAGCAAAAAGAGGCATACTAATCGATTCTAAATCGTCAATCAATGTATTGTATTGTAAAATGGATGTTATTCAGTATTTTTCCTTTAAAAAAGAACATAGGTATGTTCAGCAATCATAGGGAAAGAACTGTTAGTCTAATTCTGTGGCAGACATTCCAAGAGCGTACATAGACACACCTATGCCTGTTGCATTAGATGTCATTTTTAAGGTCAAATGCGTAGGCCTGATGTTAATCAATATGCATACGTGCATACATCTCTGTACTTCTACCAGTGTGTAGAGTTGAAACTGGGGAAATATTGTTGATAAAAGATATTAGGAAGATTTGATTCTGATTTTTTCCCTTCTTTTTTCTCTCTAAAAAACCGTTGATGTTTAAGACAACTAACAATAAAAAATAGATAAAAGTTTAAAGCAAATGCTTAGGCTTTCATCATACGGTAAACTGACACATAGATTGAATCTAGTTTTAACAATAGTGGTAATAATTTTAATAATAGTAGTAATGACTGGCAACATCATGACAATCTGAAGGTAAGAATATAAATGGAATAATCAGAATGAACTTGAAAACTATCAGGGAGAACGTAAAGTAAAAACGAAACATTTATAAAATTAGGTTAGAGGAAGAAACAGCAACGTGCTGTGGCCTTAGAGTCATCCAGAAAGACTAGACAGCTTCAGTGTTAAGCACGCTTTCTGTGACGTCATTGGCTATTGACGTCACGGAACTAACTAGATTAGATTCTTTGTACTTTTCGCCTGTTGATAAGTCTTTTATTGCCTCGTGATGGCTAGTATCAGCACTACATATCTTAATATTATTACGAGCAGCATCTGTTTCTACTGTATTTGAAAATAAATCGTTCTTCCCACTTGTAAACCCTTCTGTATAGTCTTCTTCTTGCAAATGACTTGTCAATATATTATTACCCTGTGATTCATTAAGGTTGTCTTCTTCCAATAAGAGATTCACCATTCGTGTTGAGAGCATGACATCGTCTAGCAGACAGTCATTCCCTTTATTGTTTGTTGATGACGGTGTACACATACTATCTTTGCAAATGATTTCGTCTAAATTTACGTTAATTTTTTGTTGTACTGGCTGTTGCTCGATGACACTAGCAGTAGAAACCGATGTTGGTAGCAGTCGTGCTATATTACTTTTAAAATCGCTGTTCATCATTTGATTACTTGACACATTGAAAATGTCTGAGTTCATAGATGATGTATTACTATTGGTATTCCAGTTAGTGCATAATCCCAGATTGTTAAAATTAATAATACCTGACTTTAAAACTGTTCCATCAGTTGTTGTTGTTGTTGCTACTGCTGTTTGTATTATGTTACTAGGTTGTATCTGTTTTTCATATGATGATGACTGCCAGTAGTTCGATACATTTTGTATATTGTGAACCTATTCATTTGAATAATGTAAAAATATTTGCTAAGTTAGTGGAAGATACAATTCGTAAATTTCAAGATAAATTTCGTCATGAAATGACTTCAGCTAAAGAAGTATTACGAAAACAACACTGAGCAATATGTGAATGTTTCGTAATTGTTTGAAATTTTACAATTGTACACTTCTCAAATCCCGCAATGTATCAAGTCAGACATCAAAATTTGAGACAGTAGTTCAATAAATTGTGCTGATGACTTATTTTGCACGACACCTGAGGATGAATGAATTGTTAGGAGCTAATAAAATTAGACAGCTGGATTCTGAATCGATAGTTAACCTCCAAATTGATGTGAAGTTATTACTTCTCACTTTCTAACTGTCCCAGACTAGAATGAAATGAATTTGCTTCTTGGTCCCATTTAATCTATAGCTAATATCGTTTTGTAATTAAACTGATTTTTAATTTCATTAAATTTTATAAACTTAGCAATGCAATAAATACAGCGTTTGTGAAGAAAATAGGTCTGTGTGCTCGTCACTCATAAAAAATTGTACGCTTACTTTAGCAGCAAAAAATGGATGCACTCTATCTTCGATTTTCATTTTCTGAAGCAGAACTGATCTTATAAGAATGTTGACTTACTAACCTAGTTCTTAATTCACACTGAGAAAAATTTTATAGATAAGGAATTCATGTTTCCAGATCCACTAGAAAATGTCCAACAATTTATTTGATCTGTCGAATGGATAAGTGGTGTTATAACAATACATCAATAACTCACGTTTCATGCACTTTTATGTGAAGGCAGTATTCGCGATACATTTCCCCGCATTTACTGACTGGGAAATCTAAGCTGTCTATCAGAATTGCTATTTTTTCCAGTGTAAATACACAGATGTTTAGATTTCTAATTAAAACCTTAGACTCCTCGTCCCATAATTCAGGACTGATTAATTAGTCCTTTGTACTAATGTCCAATAATGTTATCACTCATATTTCGATAAAATACGACGACCAATGGTAACCTTGAACAGAGAAATATATTTTACTTTATTTATGGTATATCACTGAATAAAAGGGCCAGTAGGAATAACACTAGTTACCAGGATACATGAGAGTTGAGTCAACTACTTATAAATAAAACAAAACATGTTCACGGCTAAGGACCAAATTTTTTATTTCCATATTCGTTGTAGAAATATCTGGTAGTAAATATGGTTTCACAGATGCATAATTTAAAATCCTGTCAAAACAGTAGGGAAATATAACTAGTGAAATAAAATTGTAACTTGCTAGAATGGTTACTTGATCAAACGTTTCAATATGACTCATACTTCAAAAAAGTCTTTAACCGCCTATCAGTTTCTAAATCTAAATAACACAGTGGTTTAGTTCATAAATTTTGTCTCTTTACGCGATTGCTTCTATTCATCTTTGGGGCTTTGGACATTGTTTTTTAAACAAGGTCTCTTACAATTGTTCATTCGACCACTTTCATATTTAGGGAAACGAAATCAACATTAAGGTGAGAAAGGAATACACTGACTGGTGTTAAATATTTTGGTACAGTTGTATGCGCGCTACTCAGTTGTTATTATACTTAGAGTGATCAGCGTGAAGAAAAGCTCATGAACATAGTTAAATTTAAACAAAATATCAAATGATGTGGCATTTGTAAGTCTGGAAAGTAAAGAAAAGAAAAACCACCAGAGTTGAAAGAGTTAGTCAGCTAAAGACAGTGGCTTGGTATTCGGGTAACAATGTTAAATATATAATTCTGTAGTTTTGTCACAAACGAGACAACTTCTTGTTTTCTATTGTATAATTTCCAGCAAAGTGTGATGAACAACCTACCACTAGGTAATGAACTAACAGAGGTGGAATCTCATCCCCTTGTTGACGATAAAAATAATTAGCTTACATTGGAAATCGGATGATGAGTATAGACATAAAAATGTGTACTGCTTATACAGCAAATATAAATTACGAAATTTAATTTACTTTAGTGAAATACAAAAGGATTTATTCCAAGTATTTTACCAACAAAATGTAAATTTTGTGGGAATTCGAACTTTCAGTTACACTTGATTTTCTCTTCCACATAAAAACGAGGTTGAATCCAGGAGTCCTAAAATGCATTAATTTTTCTGATTTTGATATTTGTTAAAAGAATTCTTCCTTAGAAGTACGCATGCATTAGGAAAGTGAAACGAACTGTCGATCAAAGAAGTGTTTCGATCATATCAGAAGATTAACAGACGAGTCAGTTTTATAGATTGAGGTAGGGATTTCAATAAAGATGGTGTGTCCTGCTTCTCACTTGTGTACCAGTTAGTTTTACAGAAAAGAGCTACATATATATTTTTTGAAATCTCCTAGTTTGTAGAAGTAGCATCCCTCAGCAAATATCAGAACTAGAAAAACACTCAATTTTTTCATTCGTATATTGATCTGGTTATCCTGTCTAACATTTTGATAAGCTATTTAGAAAAAAGTATAAACAAATGATTCAGATGAAATTCAAATCACGGGACTTCGCAGATAACAAGGAAATGTTTATTCCTGGAAAGGTTATTGACATGGGTTAACATCATTCGAAGGCATAGAGCGTTTGCAAATTACTTCGAAAACATCCAGCAGTTTGTAACAAATATCTGATATGTGATTCGATCCTCAACAGTGAACAAATTAGTATTTAGTCACTTGGTAGAAATACCGTTGAACCTAGGACATCCAGTTTCTTGATATAAAATCAAGAAGTGAGTTTTTCTTAAGTTTGAAGAGTATTCAAAAGCTTTCAAAATTTGAAAGTGTCTTTCCCACTTTTAGGGGAATTTGTAACAGTTTGTTTGTCTGAAAAATTAACAGCAGCAAACTACACATTTTGAGCTTAGAGAAGGTTATTTGAAATGTGTTAGGCGTGTGTAGGATACGCACCTTTTAACTACTGATCTCATATTTTCAAGGGTTCCACAGCTGTTAGTCTTAAATTTTATTTTAACTCAAATTTTATGGTTTGAATTTATTAACTTATTGTAAGTAGTTGACTTATTCATGCAGACATTTCACATAAAGTCACTTGTAAAGAGAAAAAATGAAGCTATAAATGAAATTAAATGGTTGGAGGCAATAGGCAGGCAGCCTTGGACCTAGGTTTTGTGCTAGTTGGCACTCTTCAGCAAGGCGTATCTGCAACCTCGAAGGAACTCATGTCCCTTCTGAGATTCGAACCCGGGTCACCCAGTGCTGCAGTCAGAGACGTTACCACTGAGCTATTCAGGCTCGCGATTGACCTCCAGTAGGACTGTAGTGGATACTTTGACTGAACACTAGTAACTTGCTAACTAGGTCCAAGGCTTCCTGCTGATTGCCTCCAACTATCTAATATCATCAAATCAATGTGCACCGTGATGGCGAGCTACCTAGAATGGTGGCCACATTGCAAACCTGACTGATAGCATTCAGTCTGCACCAAACATAGGACTAGACAAATCACACTAGTTACTAGTGTCCAATCAAACTATAAATGAAAGTATGGAAGTAAAAGGATTAAAATTACTTCATAAAAGAACATTTTGTTTCCATGGTTCACCCCGTCATATCCAGATTCTGATTGACAAATTAACATTTAAATATGCATAAAGTCAATTTACTACACTTTGAATAAGACACAATTAGTTGGTGGAATCATTATGATACTACAACGGACAAATACGGATGTGACAAAGGCTATCTAATGAATGTGTCCTAACACAGTTACACATACTTTCAAGTTGCTCCAGATCACATAAACAAACGGTGATTAAAATCAACAAATGAGAAGACAAATAAAGAAAAGTTCCATAATAAACTGAAGCTAAAAATATTAAGACAAGATACATAGATATCTTTTGTTGAAACTTCAGAAATAGATTATGTATGAGTATGAGCTACTGCAATAGCTTGAGAGCTTCACTGACTGAAACGTTCAGCTACAGGATTCAAGTGTTCTCTGGATTTTGTTTAGGAAGAAAGATCGAATCGTTCATCAAACCAGTGTCATATAATTAAAGTACATAAGTGGAAAATAATGTATATTTCTAGAGTAAATGTAACGACCATAACAGGCAAAAAGGTAATGTTACAATCAATTTCTTGTCGCAACTTGACAAGAAGGCGATATTTAGATGGAAGTCTATAGATGTATAGATGTAATCTGCTACGTTGCATAATTGTTTACAGACTCAACATCCCACAATTCATAAAAGTACATGAATTTTCAAAATTCTTTCTACTGTATTTATCGTCAACAACAGCTTAAATAATTACTGAAATCTAAGACGTATTAGCCAGCTTTCTTTTTCTAGCTGGAGACTATTAAACCATACAAATATATGATTCCATAAAAACACATACCCGAGATCACTAAATATTACCTCTGTTTAGTGTTTCTTCGACTAGTATCGCGCTGTGATAAAAACTACTTTGAAGCTAAACAATACCTTAGAAATTCTCTAACTGTGAATTGTTTTATTCGAAAAAAGATTTAGAGCATCAGTTAGATGTCTGTTACTGAAACTGTAACTGTTACCGAATTGTTTAAATAAATATTTTATCCTGGGTTAATATCGATCAACTGATTGTTTTTAAAAACTAAAAGAATAATGTCGTATTGCGACCTTACAATAAGATTGTATAGAAAGTAGTAGAATGGGATATTGTTAATCAAATGAAATATTAGGGGTTATTCGTTATCAGCAATTTTGTCAGAAAGACAACAGATGATAGCAACTAATGTATGGATAGCGAATTTCTCTACTATAAAATTTGAGATAACTCAGCTACATGTGTCTATTTGCTGTCAGCAGTGACCATTTAGCATCATCCTTGAAAGAAGCACAATTCTCTAGAAACCTCAGCTGTTGTAGCAATGCCCGTTACATCTCAGTAGAGCTTCATATTCCCAATTATCATTTAAGTGAAGTGGGTTAATCGGTATCGTAACAGAGAAAGGCCAATAAATAATCATGATTTGATTCAACATATCAACTTCCATTGAAAAAGTGTGAGGTAGTCTTAGTTTGATAAACCTTTTTCATTACAGGATTTGAAATCTACTGTTTCACAGTTGTTTTCGTATAATTTTTCCTAAGGCATTTTCAATGTTTTTTTGTTTCGAAAGTAATGCCTGTACAAAATAATCTCACTACTCATACTAACAGAACAAATAACCAAATTATGTCAATATTCTCGTTATATATATATATATATATATATATATATATATATATATATAGGGCCATTAAGAAAAGAAAATACTAACCTCATTTAGATGAATTCTATCCAAAACACTGTTTGGACTAGTCTCTTCAGATGAATATGACAGATAATTTTCTAGATTTGATAATGCAAAATTATTGCACATATTTCGTTGATGAAATGATGGTATAGAGTTTCCATTGTCATGATGTAAATTTATATTACGGCATTCATTGTGAGTGGGTAGAGTAGATCCACTTATGGTTAAACAGTTAGCTGGTTTACTTGTATTTATTTCAATATTCATAGGTAGAAAACATTGAAACGCACTTAAATTCGTCGTATTCGATGCTTCAATACGCTAAAAATGAGTTTAAAAATTAAGAGAAAACAGCTAGTCAGTATAAAAAGTAGTCTCTACGAGTGAGTGTGGATTCTTTTATGGTTATGAAATATTCATGACAAGATATCATTTCCGTATACTATTCAGTGAGTAACATAATAGTGCGATGTACTGTAATTTGATATTAGACATCAGGAGTCAAATGGATTCAGATAAACATTGTCAGATAAGCTGAAAGACCTCGAGTGCCTACTTGTTTGACTACTTTTAAGGGACTAGTTCTTAAAAAAAAATTAATAATAATCTCGCTGAACAACCCGATTTCGGACTGTGGATTGAAAAATGTGTACTAAAATAGTAAATACTGAAATAATGGAGAGGATTTGTACACGAATGTAAATATCACATCCATATTGAAGATTTAGAATATTTTTAACTTATTTCAAACAGTGATGTTGTTCAACCTGATGATGACATAAAATTTACGTCCGTCTGATGTAGTGAAATCTAACTAGCATCAGAACACGTTATAAAGAAGTAATAGGATAAGATATTCTGTTAATGGGGAAAAGGTAGGAGAACTTCACTTATTTGATATAATACCTGTAATCATAATTATTGCTTGTCTTACGTAACTGGGTAGTAGACAATAGCCTAGAATCATCAAAATGGTACAAGAAACAAATTTATGGATAGAATAGAGGGCTTAACAACATAAGTTCTATTGACCTCATCAAACAAAGTATGGTTGTTGTTATAAAAGCATTATTTACCAATTCACAAGGGAATAAAGTAAGTGATGAACGGTCAAACACTCGGAAAAATAGAAAAACTTTCAGGGAAGCTCAGTAGTCCAATGACCACATTCTACAGATAAGAAATAAGATGGAGTAGACTGATGTTCAGAAAGTTCACCCTCTGACGGATGATTAAATATCTCATAATACCGAATCGAAAAATGCCGAAATACGCTGTTTATATACGCTTCGCAGTTTTTTCATTAAACACCCCACTAAAACTGATGCAAATAATTGATATGACAGACTTATTTGACAGTTTAAAATAAAAACAAAAAGTAACGAATATGCTTAATAAACATAACAATCAAGATGAAAACTGGATGCATTCATTTTAAAAGTTCTTTATGATGCTTAAAATAAATGCAACACTTACAGAATTATTGACTAAAAAGCCGTTTGCAGCAGCCGTTTCGTTTGACAAGAAACTGGTATTGTTAACAGGTGCAAGACTTTGTTGTACTGTAGTTGGAGACAGAATACGAGTTGGTGTACGTTTAGTATGATTTTTTAATTTGGTTGATCCAAATTTAGTTTGAGCAAAAGTAGCAGCTGTAAAACTTGGTGTGGAAGTGGACTTTTGGACAAATGGATGAGTTGATACTGTTGTGTTGACAGGTTGTAGGTAGGTTGGAAATGATTTTGGTGATGTATGTGTAAACACTGAGTTCATTGGCTGGTCAAATTTCGAGCTTAAAAGGTTTGAATTTACACAGTTTGCAGATAAAGCGATAAACTCATTAAAATGAGGGTTTGTCAGCTGTGCTGACTGAGGTGGATTAGACGATGAACGGTGAAACAGAGGGAATGTATGTGTTTTTACGTTAAAAACCACTGACTGAGTTGTTGAGGGTGTTCCTCCAATTGAATCACTATCTAACACTGATAACAAACTAGGTCCCTTCCTACCTTCAGAAAAATTCCACGGAAAACTACTTACGGCCTCTTTTTCGTTACACCTTTCAGTGTGTAAAGCATTTAGTGGCTTAAAATCAACTTCGTTTAGTTGAATTTTGGATAACTCCTCATGATTCGTCATAGACACATTCTCATGGCTCCAATTTGTGTGATTTGCTACTGGTAATTTAACTCCATATGCTGCACTGGATTCTATTTTAGTATCATTTACTTCATCAGGTTCAACCAACACACTCAAAGCAGCAGCAGTAGCCAATAAATCCCCATGATCATTTTCTGAACGTCCATGTTTTGTTGAAAAAGGATCTTGTCTATTTTCACTTTGCATACTTGTGATACTTGTTGGCCACGCATCTTGCAAGCAGTAAAGAACTTGATGTGTGGTTTGAGATGAGACTGATGTCAAGTTAGATGATGAAATCGATGAAGAAGCAGAAGAACATCCAGAAGATGATAAAGAAACAGATGATGATGGCCAATGATTCGAAGAAAATCTATCATGAATTGAGCAGTTAGTTTGGTTGTACTGGCATGCTACATGCCCAGGATCTACGCTTATTATGAGACCATCTGGGAGACAGGCTTCTATTTCACTCCACTCCAATCCACTTACAGCTGCTGCTTCAGGAAGAAGAAGATCCACTTGAGGACCAACACAGTTTATGCATCGATAAGCAGAATCTCTTAGTGGGTCATTGGGGAACCAGTGGTGCTGGAATTTGGCTTGAAGGTACTTTTCTAGTTCTTCACCAAAGCTGTCAACTCGACGTCTTGGAAGTTTTGTGTACAAGTGTGATAATATATAATTGACAGTAACTGCAATTTCCACAAACATTAGCTTAAAATATATTTTTTTCTGCCACGTTAGGAATTAGTTCAAACTATCTGTATTCCAAGCAATCTAGGAGAATAATAAAAATTAATTTTTAGATGAAAATGAGGACAGTCGATTTGCAATGAATTCATCTTACAAGAGAGTATTGTGAATAATAAATTACTTGCTAAATTTTTCTCTTAAATGTTAACAAATATCAATGACAAAAATTAGCAAATCCAATTTAAGGCTGTTAAGCATCGAACTATGGACAGCTGATGTGAGATTATCGATCGATTGCGACATATTTAAACTTACAGTTGTAGGAATCATTAATAAATACTTACAATAAATAAGTGAAATAAATGTTACTGATACTCTGGGACTATAAAGAATGAAATTAATACACCTACATTTCCAGCTGACAGTTGTTACTAGATGGGAAATTTTTTAGATTATCTGTATCCTTTCAATGTCCTTCCTTAAGTTGAATGTATGGCATCTGATTGATTAGTGCGAAAATTCTCCCTAAATAAATCGAATTCTTATTGGTTAAAAATTAATGTAAATTCTAGCTTCAGTAAAAGGTCAACAATTTTGCCCATACAAGATGTGTCTTCTCACGTGTCGTATCTATTTTCTTCCATTTGTAGATGAAGTAACTCTACCCCCTTTTAAGTTAGTGTAGGTGGGTTCTGACAGGCAATAAACAAATGTATCCCTAAATGACGTCACAGCTGTATTGACAACTGCAAACTGTCTCGTTCGTAATGTTTTATGTCCCAGATTTTGGATAAGAAAAATTGATTAGGTGGATGATGGAAACTAACTAAATAACTAACATTGGTCCTCATAAAGACCAATCAGCTGAATACATTAAATCTCAGCAAGTGATAGTATATCCCTGCTGATAGTCGGACCTAGAGTCTATCACAAAAGACGTTAGATTTTCATCTGAAACTACTTTCTTGATGGAATTCATTCTTAGTATTGAAAGGGAGTCAGCTGCCTTGCAAATACAAATTGTTCTTCAGACGTGATGCTAAATTATTTAACAATAAACTGTAATAAAAACTATGGCGTCATCTTACACGAAACCTATCTATAATGTATGTCATTGTATGGTCGGTATATCTTACGACAGTAATAACTGACTGGTCTTTAAAACAAGCAACAGCTGTGGATTTACTGCGGGAACGAAGTGACTGGTCTTTAATACCTGATGTTGAACAACTTTTCATCACCACACAAGTTACTTATGGTCTCCTTTGGTGTAATCAGAAAGTTCTCAGTGAAATCTGTTATCCATTGTCAAATAAATAAACTTAAATTCAGTCATAACATTACTCGAGGTCAAAATGATCTCTGCTTAAGCAACCTTAAAAGAAACACTAAAGAATTGGTTGTGTGTTATCATGGCTTTCATTAGTAGCAGTTAAAAACTGAAATGACTAAACTAGATGACATACGGTTTTAAAGAACAGCCTTTTTTATCGCAGGTGAACTTCAGAATACCCGAACTTGGGGCCAAATGCCATATTTGATTTTCTGTAGCATTATAGATATCTGTACCCAAATCCGTAAAAACTAATTAAGCTGTACAAATAGTCTTATTTAAGGTACTTAGTAAAACCAAATTGAAAAGCGGAACTATTATTTTTAGGATATTTACACTTTCTCGTGACTGCTTTTAAAGTGGGAAGAAAGAGTTGAAACAAAGTAGTTGTGCGTCTAGACAGAGACTGCCCCAGTTGTTAATTTGGTGGGAATTCGACTGATTTTCACCTGGGGCGTTTATAACCAAGGAATACCAGGTTGACATTTCATCCTGTTTCAGGACTCCTCGTTGTCAGGTCACCAATAATAAAGAAATGCTCTATAAATATGTTGATTACCAGTTGCTAGTTGATACACTATAAAAATGAATGACTATTTTCAGTCTGTCTCTGCTATTAATTCAGGTATTGAAGTCAGACTACAAGAGTTTCTTGCCCATTTCCTACTATATATATATATATGTATATATCTGCTTAGTTATTTATCAAACTCATTGTTAAATTTATTCACACTGTATGTTTAAGAAGTGATAAAAATTTATTAACCTTTCTAAAGCTCGAGTATAATGATTAAATGACTTCATCACCTATTTCGACAGCTTGGACTTAATACTGAATGCATCAGTAGATCATGCGATGGTAATCATACTCTGAGGTTAAATCTCAGAAAGTAATGTAGTGCCGTTAGGTCAGTTCAAAGTGCATAGGTCTGCACTAGGTTGTTGAGTTCCATTTACTGTTTGAGTTAACTGTTTTACCATGCTGAATGTATGCTAAAATTTTCGGAAATCTCACTGATGTTCGGGTTGTATCAACGTTTTACAAAAACGAGGCAGAATATTTTTACTAATTTCATTCACAACTAGTCCTTTTCGTATAAATTTTACCGATCATTTCTCTGAATCAAGTGCTCATCTGTCAAAAGTTTGATCAAATATGTCACATATGCTGAGTGTAACCACAAGTGTTTAAAACATTCTCAATGTGCTTAGTGTTATCTATTTTGACAGCTGTTGTGACGCCGCTTTTGATCAGTCTGAATTTTAACAGCCTACTGTGTTTAAACTAAGCCATAGAATACAAAATGCATCAAAGTGGTAGCATCGAACATACAGCGTCAGTATCAGATTTTTAATATTTTTTAAATGTCACTGAAATAATTAAAATAAGGCAAATATCATGGTTGAAGCAGAATAAGATGACATCATTTCACTTAGTTTATCATCAGCTATATACAACCTGTAAATTTTTAAGCATATGTACAGGGTAATTTGTAACACACTTGAAGAGATAGTATGATACCATTTAACAAAAGACTCCAAAATGATCAACAAAATGCGTCCTAAAAGTTTATCTTTTATATACTATCATCAAAAGATCTAAGTTAATGATATTCGCATACAAATTATTGTAAAAGTTCACTAAATAATGGTTGCATTTAACAAATTTCTTGTTTGACTGAAACAAAGCTTTTACGTATATGCAAGTAGCACTTGTTTCGGGCATGTTATTTTCACCTGAAGTAGTAAAAGGTTAACTATATGTACTGATATGAAGAACAGGTGATATATATATATATACATCACCTGTTCAGGGAATCAACATTTCATCTGGCATTTTTAGGTACAATAATTAGATTTTGGTGATGAAATGAAACGGTACAACACTATCTTCTTGTAAGTACAGTGGTAAACAAATAAAATAAAACAAAAAGTCCTGAATGATTTCGATTTATTCACTGAATAATTTCACCAGTGAGATGGAATGATAGGCCACATGAGTATAGAGTGGTTTTCTTCATGAACAGAGAACTAGTGAACTATTGTTCGTGTAGCTGAGTATATTTTACTCAGACTTATGATTTCTCCTTGCTAGAAATCAGTTCAAGATAAGGAATTACATGTTAGTTAACAGTAATAAAACAACAGACTATATTATCAAGAAAAGTTGGTCATTTTAGCTCTGTAAATCAGCATAGGGTAAATATCATAAAATCTCTTCAAACAAACATAAGAAAGAGGACAAGAAATAAGAGAATCTAACTAATTCAGAAAATGTACGACTAAGATTCATTTTTATATTTTTTATATTTTGATTACAGCTTGATGCCACACCGTATTTTCAGTACAAGTATGGATATCGGTAGCCCAAATTTTACAGGCCGACCATAGATATCGGGTGTGCACCGGCAGGGAATCGAACCCCGGACTATGTGCATGGTCGGTGAGAGTCCTAACCACTGTGCCACCGACGCACATGAAATGTAACTGCACTTTTAAAGAGTCAAGAGAAGTTGATGATGTCACATTTTCTAGAGGACATTAGGGATATTCCTATGACTAAATCAAGAAAGGGTGTTACTTAAAAATATCAGTACTTATATATATGTTATTTTGGGTTTTATTCAAGTCGTAGTCACATCAAAGCACTCTTCAGTCATAATTGTCAAACACTAAACATTCTTGCAAGGGAACTATGAAACCCGGTGATTAACTCCTAACTATTATTAGACCATGCAGTGAATCACAAACTTTTTTCATATTAAGTTGTTCTTACAAGTAATAACCTGCAGGCATTATTTTAGACTGTTAAAATTATGATTCGAGATCAGCTTTCAAATTGGTTTGCCACCATCATTAAATATACATCCATAAACTAACATAATGTGCAAACACGAATGTAAATGAAGTGACTATATTCGAATAATTAAACCTTTCTATTTATTAAGGGAACCTGGTTAGTAACGGGCTAAAAAAACAGTTGCCTGATCACTTCAAGGGACTCTTGAATCCACCACCGCCTACAACTCGGCCAGAAATATCACCAACAACAGGTACAGTACTTCCAGCGGACACCAGTTCACCAAAAAGGCAGGATACTCGGATGGAACCAAGCTGCTGAAGGCCAACTGGGGAGGCAGCAGGATCAGACGGAATCTTCCTCTGAAACATTGAAAACTGACCTAGGGACCGCATCAGATAAGCCAGTGCATCTATTTCAAAAGGTCTGGAGGGGAAGAAAAGCGCCTGATGATTGGAAGAAAGGCTACCTCATCAAACTACCAAAGAAGGGCAACTTAGGCCTGTGCAAGAACTGGCGTGGAATAATGCTCTTGTCCACGGCAAGTATAATACTAAGTCGCATCATCCTGGAGAGAATAAAGAAGGCCTGGTTACAGAACTTCAACACCACTGAACAAGCTGGATTCAGGATAGGCAAATCATGTGCTGATCAAATTGCAACTGTACACATCGTCATCACAGAACAAGGCATAGAGTGCCGGTCAAACCTCTCTCCACCTCAACTTCATCGACTTCGAAAAGGCCTTCGACAGCGTGGACCGAGAAGTAATTTGGAAACTGCTTCAACACTATGGCGTGCAGTGCCTAAGTCTGCATCTACCTCATTCAACAACTGGCTATATGACAATGCCACGTGTCAGGTGACTCACAACGGAAAACTCAGTGAGGCGTTCGAAATGAATACAGGAATAAGACTAGCTGACTGCCTATTATCACTGATGATATTCCCAATTGTTGTGGACTGGACTATGCGTCAGATTGTGCTTCGGGAGCGAGGAGACAGGAATACGCTGGACCACCGATAAGAAGACTCTGGAAGATCTGGATTTCGCAGATGATTTGGGTCTAGTGTTGCACAACAACAAAACTGGCTGGGAAAGCATGACCCCAGGTGAACATAGAGAAGACGGAGGTGATGAACTTTACCAATGGACAGCACTAACAGCAACAAAGTCAGCACCAATCACCATCAACGGGAGAGATTTGAAAGATGTCACTTCCTTCACTTATCTAGTAAGCATCACTTCGACTACAGGCGGAACGGACGAAGATGTCAAAGTCAGAATTGGAAAGGCAGGATACACCCTCATCAACCTGAAACCAGTTTGGAAATCTGTCGAGCTCAACATAAAAAACAAGATCCGTATTTTCAACATCAATGTGAAGTCGGTTCTTCTATATTGGGTCAGAAACTTGCATTGTGTGTCACGAAAAGGATTTCCAACAGGTAGCAGACTTTCATCAACAGCTGCCTTCGCTGGCTCTATACTGAAGATCAAATGGCTAGAAAGAATTAGCAACAATAAACTCTGGCTGGGAAAAAACCAACCAAGAGCCGATCGCTCAATAAATGTGTAGGAGAAAGTGGAGATTGATCGGGCATACGTTGAGGAGATCGTCGAATGATGTCGCGCGCCAGGCCCTCGAGTGGAATCAAAATCAGAAGCGATTATTGGTATTAGAATAAAACTTGTGCAGTGTGGTAGAGTATAATTCCATTAGGGGTTAAATTTGTTTTGATAAAGTCTCACAGTGTTATCCAGTAATATTTACTGATGACGTTTTGAGCACAATTTATAGCTCATAACCATATCAAGGTACTCACACAACTTTCTAACTTCATTGTGTGAGTACCTTGATATGACTATGAGCAATAAATTGTGCTCGAAACGCCATCAGTAAACAATACTGTATAACACTGTGAGACTTTATCAAAACAAATTTTACCAATAATGGAAGCGACGAGATTGACATGGAGGAGATCGTGCGAAGGGGAGATGAGAGAGTTTCTTGAATCTTGGGCCCAGCTGAAGAGGACGGCGGAAAATAGAATGAAGTGGAAATGTGTTGTTGAAGCCCCATGCTCCACTCCTAACGCAAGGGAATAACAATAATTAGTTCAGCTTTAGGACGCATTTTTACGCTTGCTTCAGAATTTGTTTGGTGTCAACGCATATGCTTGGTAAAAGTATGTGATAGCTGTTCCAATAACTGTCATATACTGTAGTAGTTCTCCAGTAAAAGAAATTGACCAAAACACATTAAAATACGGAAAACGTAAAAAAGAACTGTAAATTTCAACATAAAATCATTAAACAGGGAAGTATAACAAATGTACGCGATAACTCATGACTAACTTGCAACATGGAAATGTAATTTTTTTAAACAAGTGACGGAAGCCAATAAATCACAATCTAATGTGTTCTTCAAATTTCAATAGAACTCTAAAGCTGGATAGAGATGTATAAAAATAAGGTAAAATGTGTTGCAATTCACAATTAAAACACTAAAATAAGAAATTAGCTATCAGTGAGTGGGAGAAGTTTACTGTATCAGGAATTGCGAACTAAGTCATAATGATAGTGATTGTAATGCTAATAAAAAAGACAATAATAACGATCAATTATAATGTTCAAACGACTTTGGATAATGGTAAAGATAAAAGAAAGTTTTAAATGAGACAGCAACATAAATTAGAGGTAGAACAGAATATAGAACAAAATCATGATTATCATCATAGAGTTAAAACATATTACCATGTTAGATTCAGAGTGGCCACCATTTCTCTCTACTCGCAGAGACCTGGTTTATCAACTCTAATTGCACAAGCCTCGCAATTGCAAAAATCCTTCTGTTTCTCTACTGAAAATTATCAGGATTTCACTGTTAACAGTGAATTGCTTGGCAGCGTCAATTTCATGTTTCTAAGTTCGTATCGGGAAATTAAATGTTTCCTGTGCTTCATTTTTTGACCATCAATTAGTTTTCGAATTTAGACTTCAAAGGTGACTTCTAGAATAACGATTCTCAATAAATGCACTTATCCCGAAAAAATCTATGACCTCCGGTTCGTTTTTCATGAGACGATCTGAAATGCTGAATCGTTTACCTGTGAATCATACATAATTAGACTCTCTTTTTAAAGGCTATTCATTATTCTAACGATTAATGTATTTGCGTGATCCAATTAGTGACGGAGTAGGTAAACATTGTCGCTTTTTCCTCCAACATGAAATTTACTTCCAATGCTCTTTCTTTAAGCAAAATGTACCTATTTAGACTTATGGTACAGAAATTCTTCCCTGCTGCTCAGTACTGCATATGTGTAAGTCCTTATTTTTGAGTTGTCTCACTTAAGTGTTGCCAGATGAAAAACTTGTGACAGTAGTTAAGTTTATTCATGCATCCTGATTTTGAGAAACTCGTAACAAACTCTTATACATTTTTTAATTTGTTAATTGACCTGCTTAGTTCAGCGTCTGAAAATAGCCTTACTGTTTATTAATTCGACCAATCTCCTTCAGTATGTTAGCTCGTAGGAAAGATTCTCCTAGTGTAACGAGTGAGAAGTGGGATATCGCATTATCCTCTAGCATTCTTGCTTTGGTTGATAGAATTATTTCTCCAACGTTGAGTTTTTGATTTGCACATCTGAGGGCTGAACATATAAGATGTCTGGCACACCTGAGATTCTCATGAACAGGTATCATCAGAAAATTGTTCAGTCTCTCGGAAAACACGACTCAGGCTTATCTCATTATACAGAATTTACTGCCTGAGACAGTAGCAGCTATTACCATACATTTTCTCTACAGAATTGATGAAAATAATAAGTCGGCCCAGATTCCAAAAGTTATTGTGAACCTGAAAACGGAGGGAGACATTATTCTGAGCAATAACCATATCTATATCCGAGCAAACCGATGGTTAGCGGGCTCTACTGGATTACATTTAGCTGGAATGTTATTATGTAGACGATGAGTCGAATGTGAGAAAACTCCTATTAAGAGTTTTCAGGTGGCAAAATCTCGAGGTTTGATGATCCCCAGATCTCTGTTGGTGGACTGCGGAATCGTAAGACTCTACGTTACACAAGCGTCCGCGGTCGCTTGAAATGAACAGAATGAACTGTGTATTCTAACTAACTTGGGAAATCTGGATGTCATTGGCATCAATGAAACGTGACTA